GTAATTATGGTCCTTCACATGGTGTTTGCTGTCTATTTTAATGTGTGTTCCTGTTGCTGTACTATAACAAGCTGTAAGAGCCCTTATCTAGGTAACAAATGTGAAAATAACTTTAAAAAATATTCATACACACACCAGCACTGCCGGAAGCACACAGAGGATATGGTCAGAGTTTTTCCCTCCGGGAAGACTGGAGGATAATTGCTAGGGGAATTTGGTGTGGGAAGGATCTTTACTCTGAAATGCGTAACTTTCGTTTCATGGTTACTATATTTTTACTCTGGCTATACACTATTGTTTGAATTTTTAAAAGTGTTTCACGGCATAGGAGTTGCCACAAAAACTAGATTTTTTTCATCTACAGTGAAATTTTTAAGAATTTATTTTTGTTTTGAGACAGGGCCTAGGTGTGTGTTTTGTTTTGAGGCTATGACTGTACATGCCCGTGGCTAGCTGGGTATTATATTTATAAACCTCTTTTTCCTGTAGTTCTAGAGGAAAGTTGGAAAAATGATTCTATTCTGTTTCCAATTGTAACAACCTCATGTATAGACTTCTATATACAAGAAACGAGCAATTAACATTTAAATACTGATAATGCCACACGTTTCTTGTTTGACCCTCACAGCACGACTCCAGGGCTGGCATGCTGTCATGCTGACCTTATATTTGAGGCAACTGGGGCCTGGGCAGAGGAAACAGCTCCTGAAAGTGTTGCCTCTAGGTCTCATCAAATGTTTGGCCCACACTGGCCCTGATTCCCAAGCTGGTGCCTTTAACTACCACCCTGTTTTAGGAAGCACGAAACAGTAGCCAAAGTTCTTATCCACTTTCAGCTGCAGCCCTTTTTCTCCGGGTCACCATGTAGAAGACTGCTGTGACTACCCAGCGGATCTCACTCCAGGAGCAGCTGCACTGACTTGACCTTCTGCATGTACAGAACAGCACGAAAAGCATCATTATCATGTAAGATGCTGGGGAAGGTTTTTAAATCATGAACCACATGAAGCCAGGTGGATATCTACAACAGACTAATTCAAGCTTAGTCCTTCTTCAGATACCTGCCAGCAGAACACATTCCAATGTGAGATAAAGTCCTTTCCTGTTTCATCTCAGGCTATGGGCCTAGAAAGACATGGAGGCTCACTCTTTCTGAAGGTCAGTGATACTGTAATAAAAATAAATGATTTAAGTCAACCTGCTGCTTATTATAGATATGGCTTGCACAGCTGTAATGTTCTGTTGAACAGAGTGGAACACCGTCTATCAAAAGATATTTTTTCCTAAGCTCTTATCCCATTCTTTAAAAGGGGCTAAAAATGTAGTGTTCACATTGATCAGGGAAACAGGGCTAACTTTTAACATGGTCCCATCACTGAGTGACCTTGGTGATAACACATTGTAATTCAAGGAAAGTTAATAAATGTCTCACTGAGCACACATGTGCCTAAATGGACACACAAGCCCTATCTACCTGCGGAAAGTAGAGTGATCAAAAGGATTATGCAATGAACTCAAGGTCTAACTAGTTCACAGCTTCAAATTTCATCCTTGCCTTAAGTGCAGGTGGCTGCTTAGATTCCCCATGGCCATAAAAACACATATTTTTTATTTATGACTGTCAAATTAGCTGATAACTATCTTTTTAATAATCAATGTACAAATATATCCTTCCTATGGAACCCAATAAGAGCCAGGTGGACACATTCCATGTTTATCACCTTGAGTCTAACTGGTATTATATGGACTACTGCAGCATTTAGTGAGGACACAGAATTGGACTCAGGTGTGGTCATTCAGCAACCAACATGATGTATTAATGGATGCCACTTACTGGAAACTACTATCAAAATGTCACCTTTGAAAAATTAAATATCCATTCTTGATTTAAAAAAACCCCAGTAATGTTGACATTTACAAAATTACATACTTTGTAACAAGAGAAAAATATCTCAACCTATAAAACTGAATGAAAAATAATATGATGAAAATTTATTTCAAAAATCTCATTAAATTGAGAGTATTCCCTTAAATACTATAGGTTGAGAGATTAGCTTTCCATGTTATTTTAGATTATTTAGAGGAGTTATTAGACATGCCAGTGAAGTGAAATAGGATGTTTAAAATTAGAAACAACTAAACCAACACATAATGATTAAGTACCTGGGAACAAGCATAAGAAGACTACGTCACATTGACAGGTGCTGTGGGATGGTCTGTATGTCAAGTGTGTTGCTGATTGGTCAATAAATAAAACACTGATTGGCCAATGGCTAGGCAGGAAGTATAGGCGGGACAAGGAGGAGAATAAAGCTGGGAAGTGGAAGGCTGGGTCAGAGACACTGCCAGCCGCCAGGATGACAAAGAACATGTGAAGATGCCGGTAAGCCACGAGCCACGTGGCAAGGTATAGATTTATAGAAATGGATTAATTTAAGGTGTAAGAAAAGTTAGCAAGAAGCCTGCCACAGCCATACAGTTTGTAACCAATATAAGTCTCTGTGTTTACTTGGTTGGGTCTGACGGCTGTGGGACTGGCAGGTGACAGATTTGTCCTGACTGTGGGCCAGGCAGGAAAACTCTAGCTACAAACAGGGATCCTTTAATAGTGCTACCAGAGACTAAAGAGCCCAGAACAAGCAAAACCAAACTGTACTGAGGAGATTCAAGACCGCAGTTATAAACTTGCTGTGAATTATCCTACAGCTTTGAAAGCTGCCATGACACTTCCAAACTCACAGACAAAAATGCAGTGAAGACACTGCCACAGAGAGGATGAGCAGGGAGAGACGCGCGGTGTGTAGAATTCTGTCGTTCCTGAGATAACACGGCACTGGAGCAGGAGCCCAGGGAGTGAGGGGAACAGTTCTGAGAGCGTGGACACAGGATGAGTTTCTCTCCCAGGGGTACCTCATATGGTTAAAGGAGGCTATTGCACACGAGGGGAAAGGTAATTATTCAAAAGTGCCAGTCATAAAAATGGCAGGTCACCATAAAAAAAAGTACCTCTGCTTCATTCTTTATAAAGAGAAGTTCTGTAAGATTTAATCATAAAAGAAATAAAAACGAGGTAAAGGAAAGCAGAGAGAATGTTTTTCTAAAGGTCTGGCCCAGAGAAGCTCTAATAACATGAGCTCTAGAGGTTTATTCAAAACTGGATAGATTCAGCTGCTTAACAACAGCAACAACCTTCACGCTTCAGAGAGCCACAGATAAGGGTAAAGATAACAAGAAGCTGAGAAATGTAATCCCGTATCATAAAAAAATTGGCTAATTTCCTCGACCGATAAGCACCTGATACACACTAATAACAAAGTATCCAACAACTCAACTGAAAAGCATCGGATCGCAGAAGCGGGTCCGGAACAGAGACGTCCTGTTTCATACTGACTTGAGAACACATGTAGCATTACTTATGATTTGAAAAGTGTGATGCCATGGCTGGGAAGGTAAGCACGGTGGTGGGCTGTGGCTTAGCATGTGCAAGGCCAGGGGTCAATGCGCAGCGCCACAGGAACAAAACAAAACAAAAAGAGTGACATGATTCATTGAGTCAATAAAAAGCTGCAACATTCCTTTGGTAAGGATACGGAAAGCTGTTTTTCTTACGTGTGTGTGCGCGCGCGCGCGCGCACGCACGCATGTGTGTCTATGTCTCTGTGTGTCTGTCTGTCCGTCTGTGTGTCTGTGTATACATGTGTGCACATATGCATGTGCTTGTCCTGAGGGGTGCATGGGGAGGTCCTACTTTGTGGGAGTCAGTTCTCTCCTTCTAGTCTGTGGATTCTGGGGCTTAAACTCAGGTTACCAGGCTTGGAGTCAAGCACCTTTGCCCCCGGAGCCAAATTGCTGTCCCCAACAAACTGCTTTTTAAATATTGTTGGTTGAAGTATAAATTGGTTCAACAATATTATTTTGGAAGACAATATGGCAGTCATCATAGTTTAAATACATATACTATCGTCTTGTCAATTAAACATCGAGAATTTACCTTAGAAATACACTAAAAAATGTGCTAAGTATCACATACATATGTCTTGTCTGAAAGAGAAAACATGTCCATTAATGGAAACTGGATAAATGACTATGGCATATGAAGGCAGTGCAATGCTAGGCACTCATGAGAAGTGAGAAGGCTTTTGGTTTTGTGTTGGGATGAATTAATCTCCATGATAATTAGTCTCCAGGATGAAGAGAGAGAAAGGTGCAGAGTTAACTATGCTCTCATGCTGTTTTAAAGAGCGTGTTTACGTATACAAGCATATGCATCTAGGCATGTGCAAAATATCCCTGAAAGATACTCTATGGGGTAGAAGTAGGCAGCTAGGACTCACATGGAAGGTGATTGTTTCCATTGCATTCTGCTATACAACAGTCACGTTTTTTTTTTTTTTTTTTTTTTTTTGGTTTTTCGAGACAGGGTTTCTCTGTGTAGCTTTGCGCCTTTCCTGGGACTCACTTGGTAGCCCAGGCTGGCCTCAAACTCACAGAGATCCACCTGCCTCTGCCTCCCGAGTGCTGGGATTAAAGGTGTGCACCACCACCGCCCGGCAACAGTCACGTTTTATACAATGTATATATGTCCAAAATGTACTACTTTAAAAAACAGTTTTATGTTAAAAACAAAAATCTCATCCCCCCGCACATTCCCAAGGAAGAAATCCAGGTAATTTTCAAGTCGTGTTATCACTGTTAGCACAATCTAGGCTCCTGTCCCTTCATTCTGTGTCTGCTTAAATAAACATCTGTTTAAAGATGAGCAATGGGACAGAGTATGGGATAAATCATCATCTTAGATGACAATATCAGTAAAACATCAGAACACCAATGTAAGAATTTTTTTGAAAAACTGCACTGGAGAAGTTAACAGTGTTTGTGGAGTGGAGTCAGTGGACATTTTTGATCTCATCCTGTTATTTCTGAGTTACACAATTTATACCATAATATGTGTTGTTTGCATTAAGTTTACAGAGCGATGCTTGTCTTAATGAGCTACTCACCTGGTTCCTGTCCCTGGCATTTGCATATCGAAACCTCTGGATATAATAAAAGACCAGCCATGCGAGGGAAATGATCATCAGGACAATGAAGGAGATGGAGACAAACACAACCGATGTGCGGCTCACATATTTTTGCAAGTTCCGGGTTCCGATGGTGATGTACATGGTCACGGTGATATTCCTTTCCAGCAGGCTTACTATCTCCTTCCCTTTGGGCTCAGGAATCATTATAGCCACGATGTCTTCCACACCTGTGGCGAGAGGGGCGAGGAAGCGGCAATGAGGGCTGGGCAAGGGGACGCAACCAGGGCGAAGTGTTTGGGAGGGCAGTGTCTACCTGAAGGCACTACTTCTTGTTACAAAGTGCCGCGCCATTTTGTAAAGTGCCATCATTTTCATTGACAGTTCCCCAAACTGTAGTAATTCGATCTCCAGAATTAAAGGTAACTTGGTTTCTAGATTTGTGCCCTCCCCACATCATCACTAACTGCCAGAATGTGTTAAGGACTGACAGCAAACACATGGTGTAGACTCTCCCCCTTCCTCTGACACCTCTAAGAAGGGGACCCAAATACCTCTCAACCCCCTGCCATGAATCTTATTCAAAGCTGAAGTCCCTAACAGCTAGACTCTGAGTCTTATCTTGTCTTCCTTCAGCTCCCCAGAGATGCCGCAGTTACTTACACACACACACACACACACACACACACACACACACACACACACACACACACTTGAATCATGATTCAGACACCAGCAAGGTCATGTCCAGGCTACTTTTCCATTCTCTAAGGTGCTGCCCCTGAATTTGGTCGAAGTGAACCCTCCCATAGACCCCCCGAAAAGAACAGAAGGAGTTTCCACTCCACAGAAAGAAGTCAAACGCACCCCTTCCTGCCACCAACCTCAGCGCTCTCTCCCTTCCCCTGGCACACTCTGGAAACAATCGCAGATCTCTGGGTACCATTTTTTAAAGCAGTTTTCTCCAACAGAGAGTACCCAAACAAGCCAAGCCAGGGCTTCTTCAAGAGCGCCGACAGGATCGGCTAACTGACAGAGCAGTCTCAGAGCTATTTTCTGCATATTCTATCCAACTCAATGGAAGCAGTCATGTGTCCTCACACCAAGCGGAGGGCCGATGAAGGTGGACAGTCCCGGGACAGTGTGGCCTCTGTATTTCCACCACAGTGCCCTTGTGTCCCCACCGCCGGAAGGAAGAGGCTCTTTTCTTGGACCTCAGTCATATGGGTCCTTGTCCCTGTGTCATGATACTGTGTGAGGGGCTCAGTGAGGACTAGGAACTGATGCACAGGGTTTCTTCATAAGCATTGGACACCAAATTCAGAGGCGCCAACCCAGCCTGTCACTGGGGCTGACACATGGAACAGAATCTCACAGATCATTTTGCATTACAATCTACAAACCGAGTGATACACACAGTTCCACTTCCAGGTGGAAATATCCTGTTCCCTGAGGTGATTAAACAAAATGGAACCCGCTTACTATTTAGGGAGTTGTAGATTCAGGGAAAAAATGAAAGCCTGCTGCAGATGCTCACAGACTGGTCCGGCAGCCAGCGGCACAGGATCGCTCAGCTAGGTTGAACCAGATTATAGTTTTTTTTTTTTTTTTTTTTTGTGTGTGTGTGTGTGTGTGTGTGTGTGTGTGTGTGTGTGTGTATGTGTTGGTGGTGGTATTGTAAACCTCTTTGACTTTACTCTCTATCCAGGGCTTTAGTTCCATATCCTTGACATTGTTTCATTCAGGCTGATTAGTCAACTGCCTTAGGGTCATTTATTTGTTACTATAGCATATTTTTTACATCGTTAAAAAACAATCCAGGTGCACACAAAGGAGACTAGCCATTGGTTATATATTTTTCAACATTCCCACAATTGTTGCATTGATGTTGTAAGACCATCAAGTCATTTGCTGGGTGTTCATGTTCCTTGTTTTCTTTGAGAATCACTGAAGCTGAGGACTGAATACACCCACCAACCTGTAGCCCCTTCTCTTCTCATGCTCTGTGTATTCTGGCTAAAGATTTCCTGTGGTCTAGGGTTTTGTGAGGGATTAAGGCCACTCCCAGGTTTTGACTCTACAGAAATACGATCTGCTTTGTACTCGGGACTAATCTGGCCCTGGGGTGGGGGGCGGTTCATCCCAGAGCTGCAGTTACTTTAGAGATATATGAGTCCTTGAGAGAGGGTCATGATTTTCTGTTTATTTCCTTGTTTATATTCTCTGGGCTTATTGAAAGCTCTAGATTATGTTTTTGTAAGGACAGGATGTGAGGGTAAGTTAAGAGGCTTTCTATGCTCAGACAGGCACAAATTTATATTTTAATAGCCAAATGAAGATATTTCTTAATTGCTTCCAGTTTTGATACTCTGTTTAAAAGGTTTCCTCTTGAGACCATAGAAATACTCATTTAAAAACAGCTTTCCTAAACCATATAGTTTTACCTTCCATATTTAAATCTCTAACAACCAAATACATGTTGCTGACAGAACAGTGGTTACCGAGTTCTCTTCGTGGGTGAGCAGAAAGGACGGAGACCAGAGTGTGATTTAGTTTCCCCCTAAATCCTCGGCTTTGTTTTGTACCTTGTGTTTTCTGTGAGGTTGACCTACTTTTTTGCAGAATCTGCCCCAGGCTTTTAGTCTTAAATCCTTTAACATGTTTCCTACCCGGTGGTGGCTTGAAAGTCCTCCGCGCCTCAGCCTTCAGTTTTCCTATTAGGAATTCACCCTTGAGAGGCCATGCAGTACAATCGTTAAGAGTTGCTCTCTGGAACCAGACAGCATGTTTTAATCCAGAGCAGCACTTTAAAAATAGGCACTGAAAGTTTTGGATCACCGCTACACTCTAAATTATTCATTATCTGCTTTCAGGGATCTGAGAAAACATTTTCTCTTTCTTCAGGGTAAGGTATAATTAACTATTTTAAACTGTTTGTTTTAAACACAAGTGCCTAGTGACTGCCTGTTGTCTCCACCACTGTGGGGACTTCAGGACACACGGCATGCTCTGGGAAGGAGAAAATATGCAGGGCAACGGGGCAGGTCTATTGGTCTGGACACATGTCTTATTCATTTCTGTTTCTCTTTGTACTTCAGGCTGTATACAGCAAATTGCACTGGGGACATGAATTTACCACAGTGGGAATAGTCGCTAAAAACTGGATGTCTAGGGACTCAAGAGACGGCTCAGTGGTTAAGAGCATTTGCTGCTTTCACAGAGGACCTGAGTTCAATTCCCAGCACCCACATAAGGACCTTACAATTGCTTGTAACTCCACTTCCAAGGGGTCTGATGTGTTTTTTGACCTGTGTGGGCTCCTGAATGCACACGGTGCACATAAACTTATGCAGGCACACACACACACACACACACACACACACACACACACACACACACACACAAACATGTGCACCTGCGTGTTCGCACATACATTAAATTAAATTGGGTATCGGTGTAAAGTTAACTGCATTTGAATGAATTATTCTGATCAGTGAACAAAATCAAGGTCAAGAGGCTGTTCCAGGACCTAATTTGTTTGAAGGGGACATGCGCATTTATGTGAATAGTCACACTCTTCCCTGATCTTTACTTCATTCCAGATGTACACCTGTACAGAAGTGTAACTGTGGGTGTGCAAGAGACAGGACAGGAGAGAAACAGGAGCTGGTGGGGTGTGTCAGGGCTTGCTGAGAGACCACAGGAACAGCTCATGGTTCAATGCTGCTCGATTGGTGCACTTTTTATCTATGACACACTAGGAACTCCTAGGCTTATGGAAGTGATGTGCACAGATAGCATAGTTTGTATGGGTAGAATCCACACAGACCAAGCTATTTGGGTAATTTTGTGTTTACCGTGACATGAAGGCACTTTCCTGCCAAATGCCTGCTTTGGTAAAATGGCCCCAGTCCACCATCTGTTTTCCTCCCAAACGCACTTCATGCCATGGAGTGTTGTGTACTCACTGTGTGTTTGGAAAACCTCTTCAGTTAGAGACAATACTGTTTGACCAGCACAGACACCCTCAAGGCCAGAAGCAGAAGCACCTTGTATTGTAACACTTTCTCTATCCATGACAGCACTCAGCAGCCATTCTCTTATTTGCTAAGTGTGTGTACATCAGGAATCCAAAGCTTAGAAAACCCAGGGATGTTTAATGATGAGAAAGCCTCTACTTACATACTCAAGCCAGGCTGCTTGGTCATTGTGTTAGTGAAATCTCTAGAATACCAGCAGAGTGCAAAGCACTGTATGGAGCCCGTTACCTATTCCTCCCTACATGCCTTGGGTGTGTGAACATCTCTGCACCCTCCTTGCTCCCCTAATCTATGCTTTAGTCTGTCTTATTGTTAACTCTCTAGAACTTAGGAATTTCTAAGAAAAATATTCACTGTTCATTTGTAAATATTTTCTACTTAAACATTTAAAATAGTTCATAAAAACGTAGTCAGTTTCTGATTACTGTTAATTCTCAAGCAGGATTTGTATGGAATGATTTTAAAACAGTAAAGTACCATGCAAATCGAAAGTTATTGCTATTTTCTGTACCAACAAACATTTGCAATATACACAGATGCAAAACTTCTAAGTCAAGCTCTCCCAAATAGAAGACAGCAGTACATTAAGGCAATTTTTGTGCCTGAGTGGAATTTATTCAGATTATGAGAATGATCTAATGTCAGAAAATATTGTGGTGATTTTTAGGACATTAACAAGTATAAGGAATAAAGCATATGACTATCTTGTAGAGCTTGTTATATGCCTGTATTTGGTCTTCTTTTCTTTACAGTATTCATATTTTAGCCAGGCACAGGCTGGCAATAAAAACGTTAATTCCCAGACTCTCTTGCAGCTAGGTGTTGCCACATGCTCACTATTCTGAGATGTGTGTGGAAATGATGTTTTTCACTGCAGAGTCTTACTCTGCTGTGGAAAAGAATAATGCCAGTTGTGACCATGTATACAAAAGTCAACATAGTTCTACAATAAAAATTAGAAGACTAATTAATAAAACACAAGACTCAAGTCAACATGCAAAATGAAGTGTCTCTCACCTACCTCAATCTATGAGAAACTAAGGGGAAAATGGTCCATGTGTTCCATGGTGGACATCATGAAGCTATTAAGAATAAACTTCATCAACATTGGAGCTAGATGAAGAGAATCAGGCAAAGACATAAAAAATCCCAAAGGAACAGATATCATTTTAAACCCAAGGGTTGCTAAT